GAGGCTAATGATCCTTTAAATAGGGTGCAAGGCCCCAAAATCTAGGGTTTCATCTGTCAGCATCTACTCGTCGAGTCCCATATTGGACTCGGCGAGTAGGTCATTAAACTTCGCGGACAAACCCGCTACTACTCGACGAGTGGGGAGGCCAACTCGCCGAGTAGGTTCTTAAAAATCCAGACCAAAATATCATTATTAATACCTGAGAAAACCCTAATTTTCAGGGTTTATGTCCTATTTAAAGGACCTTAAGACCTCATTTCCACCACCCTTGTCACCCTACTACACTGTGTGAAACCCTAATCGAGCTATAACCTTATGTGTGAGAAAGAGAGGCTAATATTGTGAGTTTTAGTGCATTCTTGGAGGAAAGTTGAAGAGCAAAAGACTTTAGGCGAGAAGGAGCTTTTGGATCTGGTGTTCATTCATACCTAGCTTCTGTTTGAAGGTAAAAAGTCACCATCTTGCTCATTGTTTGGCTAGATCTCGTTTTTAGGGAATTTATAGCCTTTTTCCCATCCTTCTTGGAGTCCTAGAGTGTTATGAGTTTGTCATGGAGTTGAGACTCCAGATCTGGTCATATTCAGGTTCCATGAGCCCAAAGATCCAAGCTTTATCAAGCTTTGGGCAAATCTCCATGCATGAGACCCTTTATGGAGCTTGTTTTGGCATTTTGAGCCCTAGATTCCATGCATGAACGTAAAGCTTGAAGCTTTACGTGATAAGTGAGCCTTAGAAGGTTAGATCCAGAGTATGAGACATCATTTCTGCTTAAAATGGTTTGAATGAGAGAATGGACTGAAGGGCCTCGACGAGTTGGTGAACTGACTCGACGAGTTGGTTAGGGTTTTCCACCGATGAGTCTGGACGCGTTGTAACTCGGCGAGTTGACGAGACAAATCGACGAGTTAAGTTAGATTTTCGCGATATTCTGAGAAAACGAAGGAACTCGATGAGTCGCATAGATGCACTTGATGAGTTGGGTCAACATGGACTGTTGACTCGAGTGTTGACTTTTGTTGACTTTAGGGTTTAGTCAAGACATGGATTATGGAGACCATAGAAGGGTAAAATGGTCTTTTACTCATTCCAAGAGTTAGAGAGAAGGGCTAGCTTAATTTATTTAGAGTTGTGGTTATAAGTATTAATTAGAGATGATTATGGCATGTAGGTGGGGATTAGATTGTTCGAGGGGTACGAGGCTTACTTGCTTACTTACGAGGTGAGTCTTCTCACTATACTTACCATGAGTGGTAACTTGTGTGACCGTATGGTCGTGTATGCTATTATTGAGTATTGTTATATCCTGCATTATGTCTTTGTGATTTATGTTGTGTATTATTCTGAGCTTTATTGAGTTAGGACCGGAGGGTCCAACCCAAGTTGTGGGACCGGAGGGTCTCCACTAAGACACATTGACCGGAGGGTCTTTATCGAGATATAGCCATGAGAGGCTAATATGATGTGTGTGGTATTTTGGGGAACTCACGAAGCTTCGTGTTTACCATGTTATGTGATATGTGTTTCAGGTACTTCTCAGGATCGCGGGAAGGCACCGACTTGATAGTACACATGAGATGGAGTTATGTTTTTGAGGATCCTAGATTTTTATTCAAACAATTATGGATTTGTGTTTTTGATAATTTGACACTTTGGGGTTTTTGTGAAATGTGTTAATGAGAATTATGTGATTTTAAAATGAAAAAATTGTTTGAAAATTTACGGTGTTACATATTTATAGGAAAGACTCAACCCATTACACATCACAAGAGGGTAAGCCACATCCAAGGAGAAATTTGCACCCTAACAGAAACTCACCTCTTAGTCTAAACGCAAGCTGAATAAACCTTTGCTCCGAAAACCAGCTCTACTCGACACCTATTATCCAAAATATTTCCCAACTAAAATTGAAACCAGATTACCCAAAATACCCTTTGGTTAAGATTGATCAAACCTAACAAACCAACTGAGTCAACCTAGCTGAGTCATCCCAACCAAGTTAACCCAGCCGAGTCGATCCAGTCCGTACTCATCTGTACGTGGGCGTACTCGATGGCTGACCAGCAATCGAATGTTTGGCCGCGTACGCGCAGTGTACCAGTTGGTACGCCTGGCGTATGCAACTGAACTTCTTCTTAACAATAAGTGCTTAATACTTGATCCTTTACATCCAAAATGCAGATACAAGTCCAAAATGTTGTCTTTGACCATAAAGTTTCCAACTTTATGCTCTTGCATGGCCAATAAGTGCTCAACACTAAAAACCTTAACTACTTAACCCATTAAGACCTTGTAGCACATGCATGAAAGGGAAGAAATGATCAAGACCACATTTTTATGCTTCTAAACACTTCAAGGCGTCTGAAAGGGCAACTTAAATGGATTGGAGTAGCTCATACTCAAAATACCTAACTAATAGGACCAAAAGGACACAAACTTCATGGCTAACTTAGATCTATACATAGCTTCATCAAGTTCAAAGCTTTTTACCTCAAAGTGATGACAAATGGTGATGAGATCCTGGATCTAAAGATTCCTACTCCTCCAAGATGATCTTTTCTTCTTCCTCTCTCCTTCAAGGTGACCAAAACACACACATAAAGCTTAATAGTGCTTAAAAGTGGATTAGCGTTTGCAATGGGACGAAATGAGGGTTGGAGGCGAGTGAGGGAGTGAGAACTTGAAGGTTAATGATGCTTATATAGGGTCCAAACCCTAAAAATTAGGGTTTGTGGATCACAAATGCACGCCCCACGTACGTGAGTCCGCCACATATTTATAAAAATGCCACTACGGGCCATTTTGCAAACTTTCACATGCACAAGGGCTAAAGTGAAATAACTCTTCATACTTAGGGTTAAAATTGAAAATACATCATCATCAGAATGTTACATGTCGGTGGAGAGTGCTTAGGTTTGACTTGTTTGACAGTCGTTATGACATGACGCAATGGAGACTAAGAACCAGCTTCGACCATAGTGGTAACGTTGTGGAGGGCGGAGTACCACCATTTTGAGTTTCGGGAGGAGGTAAACGGAAGCCATTTGTCGATATCTCTCTTCATTCTGTCTCTGTTTTCAACCTATTATGACAGCAACTCACCACCATTAGAGTGAACGATGCTTGAAGTAAAAAGTAGGATGGAGAAGAAGAAGAGGTAAATTGTATGGTTGAAAGAAAGAATACAAAACCGGATGAAAAGGAGATAAAATGAAGAGTAGAATTCAACGATTGTAGATTTAGGGTTAATTACATTTATCTTAAATGACGTGGCTACCAAATAATACAGACAAATTAATTATTAAATATCACATCAGTTTTGTGACCTGGTAACCGGTTAAGTTTGACCAAAATGACTTTATTAACATGTTATATTTGAGTTTAATGGCTACAGTGGCTTTTTTCCTTTTAGAAGAGGTGATAACATAGGTTTGAAAATGATGAAACTTTTGTTAAGATATAGGGGAAGGAGACCGAGATCTCATGATTCAACCTAGACTCAATCAAATCAGAAATTAAAAGAAGTTGGGTCAATTAATTTTTATAGATGCTGATATATCGGGAAAAGATAAGTCACAAATAAAGTAGGTTTAAAAAAATATGCATGAGGTAGTTGTATGTATTGTATTATTTTTTGTAAAATTAACTTAAATGTGTTAAACTTAAAATTTAATATTATTTTATTGGTAGTTAGTTATACTATTAGCTTAATGGTTTGAACATCTTAAAAAAAATAATACTATTATATTCAATCTATTTTTAGAAAATATTAAAGATTTCTTATAAAATATAGTATAAATATATATTTAGAGCCCATATTTATTTTTCACACATGGCCCACAAAATCCACTGGACGCCCCGTCCACAACATCCAATTTAAGAGATATGTCCGCGTGAATTTTTAAATTTTACAATGATTTAGTAAATAAATTTAAAAGTACTATAGATATGTAAATACTTTTGAAAAACACAATGCTCTTGTACAAAACTCATTGTTAATGCCTATGTCTATCTTCTTAGTCGTAATATATAATGGAATTAAAAGTTACATTGTTCAAATGAATGCGAAATATACTCTGAATAGACTCAAATACTCTCGCATGTCTTGTGTTTTTAATAAGACACGATTGATGAGTATTTTCTATCATTTTTTATTTTTTATTATTTACTTTTTTATTTCAAATAATACCATAGAACTTGTAGTTTAGAAAACATTTTGGAGAGAGAAAAATTATGGGAAACAATATTTATTAGTTTTTCAACTTACTTGTAGTATGGAATAGTGGAAAATTCTTTTTTTCTTGGAAAATTTTTACAAAAAATGTTGAACTAAAACAATTTCAAAATTTTTACTTTTATGTAGATACATTTTTTCTGAAAACAAATCATTTGTTCATTTTTCAGCAACCTTGAAGACTCTCTCCTCTTCTCCAAACAGTCCCATACAAAACAAAACAACAGTAATGTATTAACTTTCTGGATTTTAGTTTTTATACCATGGTCTCTTTCATGCGAATAGATATACCATATATAAAGGTGATCATGTTCTTATCATTGACAAATCTAAAATCACACACCACATTAAATAGAAAACAAAAATCCAAAGATTGTTTAACACTTTTCCTACATCCACATCCATTTCTACAATTGTTATATACAAAAATAATAATAATAATACCATTAATTAAAAAAAAAAAAAAAAAAAAAAAAAAAAAACAGTTACAAGAAGCATGGCAAAATCATCGAAAATACATCACTAAATGGGACATGTATTACAAAAAGATTTATCCTTATAAGAGGATATGTACAGCTGTACTGCTGACCTAAAAAGTCAGAAACAAAGAAGATGGCTACCAGTCTCGAACCTGAGACCTTACTTATGGATTCTCATCTCCTTACTGCCAAAACAATCATGTGGGGACCACCTCTCATCTATTGTTACACGCATTAATTCTCATCTCCTGCTAGGCAATCATGTGGGGTCCACCTCACGGCTATTGTCACACCTCGACATCCTTCATGTCAGTATCCAAAACATCCAACATTTCATATATTTCATCACCATGAGCATGATTTCTATCCCTTGACATAAAATAATCCGTACGACCACCATTATCAATCCAACTGTACGCGGGTTCCTTCACCATTCCCTTTTCAAACATCTCTCTCCTTAATCTATCAACACATTCCCAATTCCCTTCCTCAGCATACATATTAGACAACAAAACATGATACCCCGAATGCTTATCTCCAACACCCATTTCAACCAACTTCTCACCAACAACTTTTCCCAATTCAAACTCCGCATGGATTCTACAACACCCCATGAGTGACCCCCATATTTTCAAATCATTCCCCTTCTCCCCTAACCCTTTAACAAAATCATACGCTTCTGACACCCTTCCAACTCTCCCTAACATATCAACAACACAACAATAATGCTCGACTAAAGGAACAATTTCATACTCTTCTTCCATTAACTCAAATAATCGAAGACCTTCATCCACCAATCCAGAATAGCTACACGCACTTAGAATTGCAATTATAGTTACAGAATCCGGTTTTATCCCGTTTTCTTTCATTGAATTAAACACATGAAGAGATTTCTCACCCATCCCATGTTGCCCGTATCCCAATATCATGTTCGTGTATGTAACTAAATTTTTCTCATGTGAAAGTAAAAATACGTTCTCTGCGTATGTATTTATACCCAATTTGGAATACGTATCCACCAAAGCAGAATGTACGAATACGTTATTGTCTAAAGAATGTCGAATGGAAAATGAATGGATTTCTTTTGCTAATCTTGGACTTCCCATTACACTACAGCTTGGAAGAATCGATGCTAAAGTAACAGAATTTGGTGACACGTTGTGATCAATCATGTTCTTGAAAACATCAAAAGCCTGTTCGATTAGTCCGTTTTGAGAGTTCCCGGATATCATTGTGTTCCATGTTGCTTGATCTCTATCACATGAAGAAGAAGAAGTTCTCTCAAAGAGATTTTGAGCCACTTTTATTAAACCGGATTTTGCATACATGTCAATGAGATAACTTTCCATTCCCTCAAACTCAATATTATGTCTAACAAGATACCCATGTGTTTGTTTTCCAATTTCACGGTTTCTTAGATTCGATGCTGCAGATAAAACAGCGGATATGGTGACATCATCGATCACAAACCCTTGATTTTGCATTTCATACACAAGTTTTAACCCTTCATCGTCCATTCCATTCTGGACAAAAGACGAAATCATAGTGTTCCAGGAAACTGTATCTTTTTCATTCATATTTTTAAAGATCTTTGAGCTTTCTTCAATGGAATTACATCTGGAATACATGACTACAAGTGTGTTCATCACCATCACAGGTAAAATTGGCATAGTTTTTATGATATACGCGTGTATCTGATTAGCAAGATCCAGCTCCTGCAACTGTGAGACTGCTGTTAAAACAGAGATCAAAGTGACATCATCAATGGGGACATCATCTGATGCATGTAGAGCATGAATGAAAAGATTAAGTGCTTCATCAGGTAAATTTTGAAGGACATATCCGCTGATCATAGTGTTCCAAATCTCTATATTCCTCTCTAAACTATAATCAAATATCTTCCTTGCAGATTCAAGGGAACCAAGTTCAGCAAACATGGAGATAGCAGAGCTTGTAGCAAACACATCTGTGAAATACTCATCGCCTGATTTAGTAAGCAACCCATAAACAGCATCAGCAAGTTTGGAATCACCGATTCCTGCTACAGCTGGAAATACATTTACAAAGCTTACCACTGTAGGTTTAAGTCCAGACTTCAAGAGCTTTACGAAATGGGTAACAGCTTCCACAAAAAGTCCCATCTTCACATACCATGAAATCAGAATGTTCCATGAAATGACATTCCTTTTTGGAATTGATTCAAACACGCTTTTTACATCGTCATACAAGCAACTGGCATACATGTTCAAAAGGGAATTACATACTATTTTGCTAGGATACAAATGGGACCGAATAATATGACAATGAACGGCTTTACCTATCCGAAGACTTTGAGTTTGGGCGCAGGCTTTGAGAACCGAAGAGTATGTATAGGAATCAGAAAGAAAAGACTTGGATTTCATTTGGGAGTAGAGGAGTATAGCTTCATGAGGCATGTTATTACAGATGAAGCCAATGATGATTGCGTTCCAAACCACAGTTGTTGGGCTGGGAATTTCGTCGAACAGTTGGCGGGCAAGATGGGGTTGGCCTTCCCGGCATAACTGGCTTAGTCGGTAGCGAACTGTTTTAGGTCTGGGATGTTGGTGCAGCTCATCTTTTGTCCATCGGACGTGTGAAGGTAGTTGTAATGAAGAAGCATGGAGTGGTTGACGAGTGGGGGCTGAAGAAGAAAAAGAGTTCATGGAGAAAGAAAGAGGGAGAGGAGACGATGACATCGTGAGGCGTATATGTATTGAGTTATCTGCCAGGCGATCAAAGAAACACTTGCCTTTACTTACAGTCATGGACTCGCAGAAATTATGTTGGTCGATAAAAATAACTTTGTATTTTAATTTTTTTTTTGGAGAGATAGTATGTTACTTTGTAAAAAAAATGATGTTTAAAATCCATGAAAAAATATAGAAATGTAAAATTCCTATAAACAAACACATAAGAAAAGATGTAAAATAAGTTGTCTAATTTAGATTTGAGAAAAAAAAAATTGAACAAAAGTTGTAAGAAAAAAAAAAACTTTTAAATTTTGTTTTTTAAAGGTTAAGGAAATATTGTAAAACATATTTATATCAAATTTGTAAAAAACACTCCAAATGAGCCAAAATTATATTAAAAATGGTTGGAGTAATTATTAAAAAGTGTTTTTTACCATATTTGCAAAATAAAAATAAAAAATAGATGTAAATTATAAAAAACAAAAGTTTGATAGGGGAGACGAAAAAAAATATATTTAATAGTTAAAAATATAAAGAAGTAAAGTCAGGTGGATTCAAACACCGGTCAAAAAGAAAATGGATTGTTAATAGCAATATTATTTTTGGGTATTTTTGTCGTAGTTGTATAAAAATATAAAAAGAGATACTATTAGGGATGAACACTTGAATCGAAAACCAAATCAGAACCGATTGGAAGTTCTGACTGAAACCGATTAGTAATATTCGCTACGGTTCTCGGTTCCCTTAATTTAACATTTTAAGTTTATGGTTCGTTCAGTTTTGGTACCAAACTCCTTCTTACATAGCATACTTCCTAGTAGAACCGAACCGGAACGGGTTAGTGGTATTCAGACCGATTTTCAGTTCTCCGTTTACTCCTTAATCGGTTTTTAGTTCTTTTAGTTAAAGTTCGATTCGAATCAGTTCCAGACCGATTTACATCCCTAAATACTATTTATGATTTGATATTATTTGTAACGTCCCAAAAATCATAAGTTAAAATTTTCATTTTTAATTCAACAATAAATATCATTTAATCATTTCAATCATTTAAACGTATATCAGAGTAAAAATAGTTATCAGAGTACAATTCCACAACCATAAGTGCAGGAACATGGGTGGATGCGCTGCGATCAATCTAGACCCTTCCCTTCGAACTGGAAGTACCTGAAAATATTTTAAACATAAACCGTAAAAACAAAGCTTAGTGAGTTCCCCAAAGTACCACATACCAAAACATATAAGTGACATGGGCTACCTCCATTGTCTTTCCTTACAGTGCCGATGTTCAAATACTGGTCTTACATACAAGTGTCATGGGCTGCCCCTATGGTCTTTCCTTTGTAACATCCGGATTCCCAGGCATCTTAAATTATGTATTTTATTGAGTTTTGGAGAGAGACTCGGCGAGTAGGCGCTCAGACTCGCCGAGT